CAGTTTGTACACCTAAATTCGACCAATCATATATCAAGGGTTAGCTATCAATCAAATTTTTTTGGTCATAGCATCTTGATTCATATGTCGCAGCTAATATACGCAACAGTTGAAATAAGAATTAAGAATCATTTACTTTACCATTCAGTTACCTCCCAGTGTTCACGGAGATGGATGTCTGTGTCTTCGGCAGGCGTAGAGCTAACAGAACTGGTAGAGTTACAAGGCAAGGGCTCAAACATGTACGGCTGTAAGCCTTCTACACCAAATTAAGCTTTTGCTGCCCTGGCGTCCTCTTCCATAACCACTTTTTTCACACTTTTCTCCTCTAAATAAAAAAATGTATGACGGAGGAGGACATCTGACACAAAACTCTCCTCCTCTTGCATGTTTTCGCTGTCTATAGCGTTCCTTGCCAATGTCGTTTCTTAGTCACCAATTTAGTGCTGCTTGGTCCCAATGTAATTTCCCATTGGAAAACTACTAGCACTAAGTTACTAACTGGTTTGCAAGATGCTTCCGAAAAACCAATCTTGCTTCCTTGGACAGACTGCCATTGGACAGCAACAGAACCTATGATACTTCTGCTGCAATATAGCCTGTGATTCTTTTTTTCTCACTGTTCATTAAAATGCTATTTTACTCTGTAAAGAATATGGTGAAAATGAGCTTATGTAAACACAATGGTAGAAAAAATAACCAATTTCATTTAAAGCCTTTAAAAAACAAATCTACAGAATCTTTACAAGGGAAAAAAAACGTGTTCCTTTTTTTGAAATATGACTGTAAGGAAAACATGCGTAAAACTTGTATTGTTGTTTTAACAGAATAATATAATTTACTGATTAATTACTTTATTTCCTATCTTCAGGTGTATGTGGTCATGGAGCTTTGTCCAAATGGAGATCTCAAAGATTTTATTGCTTCCAAAGGGACTTTAGAGGAAGGCCTCAGCTGCAGACTAAACAGCTGTGTCTAGCTATTCAATATCTTCATGGCATCAATATTGCCCACAGAGACATAAAATGTGACAACCTTCTGCTGGACACCAACTATAACCTCAAACTGTGTGACTTTTCCATCAGCAAGAGGCTGGCTTATACCAACGGCAAGTTGGTGCTGAGTAGTGACTTCTGTGGTACTCCAAACTATCAAGCACCAGAAATCTTAAAACATCGTCCATACAACCCTAAGCTTAATGATGTATGGAGTATGGGCATTGTGTTGTATGAGATGCTCTTTGGATCGCTTCCTTTCAAAAACAGAAACCGAGAAGAATTTGTGCGACTTCAAATGAAGCGAAGAATTACCTTCCCAACCACTTCATCTGTTTCAACACAAGCAAAAGAGCTGATCCACAGCATTCTGCAGCCTGTGCCAGAAAACCGGATCACAGTCAATGGATTGTTGGAGAGTCCATGGTTGTTGCAGGGGACCATGGGAGAAATAGATAAAGCTGGACCATCTGGAACAAAAACAACAACAAAGTCTAGTCAGAAGACACAGCTAGACAACAAGCTCCAAAAAGCTTCAAAAAGCTGCTCAACTGCACAGCCGGGACCGTCTGCTGCCAAATAAAAGCACATAACAACAAGACATCTTGTCAGGACTCAGCTTGCAGGTATGGGGTTCCGTTAGTGCCAAAAACATGTTTATGTGTCTTCTGGTATGTTTATGTGTCTTCTGGTGTGTCCTGCCGGTCTTGCCATCTCTGCTTCCCTCACAGGTGTCTGTCGTCTGACTGGTGGGCGGGGTGCGCACATCTGCAGGTAGTTTTGCAGCACCGACCCTGCACTATATTAACAGCACATGGACAGCGGGAGGACGCCAGAGTGTTACCGTTGTTGGTATGCCAAATCGGTTGCGGTCTCTAGCCTGCTTATCTTGCTACTATTCAAAGCCTGCTTTCTGTGTCTCCTAGGTGCCCTCCTTGTCCTCCACTCGTGCCTCTGAGTCTCCCCCTAGACGATTGTCTCCCGGGTTCCTCTGGTTCTCTCTGAGTCAGTTTCTCCGGCCCTGGACACAGGGCTTCCCC